TCTGTTACTTTATTCTTTCCTTTATTCGTGTGTTTTAATGTTTAATTTTGTACACCTGTTCTGCCACCATTAATTACGATCTACTCCCCAAGGGGCTTTTGTTTATGTCTGACTTAGTCTGTTTTACCTTTGTTTGAGAGAGAGAGAAAGAGTGTGTTTTTTTTTCTGTGTATGTGTTGAAAAAAATCCCTAAAAAAAAAACAGGGTAACCGATTTTTTATTTGTGAAACTCGGTAGAGGGGCCGTTGTTTAGCAAGGGAAAAAAAAAAGATATATTCGGTTTTGGGTGATATAGATTATATTTAGTTTACAGTCAAAGTGCACGACCATCATTACAGACACTAAAAAAAATAATTGTTGCCCTGGATTTAATGATAGGCAAAGGAGTAAAAATAGCCGTACTGTTGAATGTAGATCGTGGGTCAAGTTCAAGGTGAGAGACAACCTTTGATAAAACAGATCACGTAAAGATTAAGCACCATAGTTTATTTTACCTAATAATTAAACACCCTAACACTACCTGGGGGGGGGGGGTGTGTTAGGGTTAGGTTAGATTAAGTTAACGTTAGTGTGTTTAATTATCAGGTAAAAAAAACTATGGTGTTTAATCTTCAGGTGATGCAATAAGATTCGGTTTGGTTATACATATCAAAGAGTACAGGATTATTGTTAACTTTGGTGTATTTACTTTATTTGACTTATATTAGCGATAAACACCAGTTAGTATAATTAGTATTAGACTGATTAATATTTGTACTACTCTTCCTGTAGTGATGTTTTGTAATTATTATGATAAAATACCTGGTATATGATAATTAATATAACAATAATATCTAGAGTATTTATCAAGTTATTTATTTACTTATTTTTTGTTAACAACTGCTCTTAATATTTCACTTGTTATTTTTTAGTATTGTTAAGTCTTTATCGTATTTTCATCCCTCCATCTTCCTTATCTCTTCTATCTGTATCCTTCAGGGTATTTTTGCCTCTCTTTCTTAACCTTCACACCCATGATTCTACGGCTTATTTTTCCTGGTCTATATTTTTCTTTACTTTTTTTGTTCCTCATTCTTCGTAATTTTCTTCTTTCGTTTCCTTTTTTTCTTTCTTTCTGTATTTACGTGGTGTTATTTTCTTTTTTCTTTCAGTTCTATTTACTTCTTTTTCTTCACTTATCTTTTCATTATTATTATCTTCCACGTCATCTCTTCCCTCATTCTTTACCTCCTTCTTATACACATTATCCGTTACTTCATCCTTCTCTAGTTCATTCTCCATTTTCTTCTCTTCTTTCATTATCCCTTTTTCCTCTGATTTAATTCTCCTCTTCTCATCTTCTTTCATTTTCCTTTTCCTTCTTCTCTTCTTTCATTCTCGCCTACCTTCTCTTCTTTCATTCTCTCTTTCTTCCTCTTACCCTCATTCTTCGCCTCGTCTTCATCCTATCATTATTGTTATTTCCTATTTATACTCGCCTTTTTTAGCCACCGTTTTTCCATTATCTCTTGTTCCTCTTTAATGTCCCCCTTCTTTATTTGTTACCCTACGTCACTTTACACTTCATCATACACTTTATTACGCCATTGTTTTATTTTACTCTCGCTTTTCCACCTCTTTGGTTCCTTGTCTCCGTGATTATAATCTTTATCTCAATGTTTTCTTTATTCTGTTTATTTTATTACCTTCTTCTTCTTCTTCCTCTGTAATGACTGAGTTATGGTAATACTATTATATTTCACTGTTTTGATGTATTTTCCTTTTCCATTTTGTCTATTTTATATTCTTGTGATTTTTGTTTCCGTTCACCGTTCTCTAATGGTTTATATACTCAGCAGGTGTAATCAGGCACCTGTAGTCAGTGCCACACCTTTATGTACCTGTTAACCTGTATACTGTACATCATGGTCGTCTGCCATGCTATCATTGTAGTGTATCTTTTATAACAGGTGTAAAGGAGGAAGCTTTAGATGTGTGTAGGGACGGGTTTGTGCGGTGGCGGGAACGGAGGTTATGTTAGTATATATAACTCTTCTCTTTACATTTACATGCAAAAGGACACACGTGTACGTTTATGCACTTATTTTTGTCGAACATATTTATATGGACATGTGTAAGTACACTATACACAGAGAGGCGTGTACAGTTATCCCAACACACTGAGAGCACACATCTGTGCATAGAAAACCACAAGTGATCGCGGGCCCTTCGTGCCCTTGTGAAAGTTTGAACGCTCGTGACAGCGTACAGCGAATGAGAGTGCACCGAGTCCGAAGACTTGCATGGTTAATTAGGGTGCGCCAAGTTCGTAGACTTGCATCGTTTTCGATCTTAAATAAAATGGTTAATTAATTCCTTCCTAAAGAAACCATCGACATGGGACCAAGTTTGTTCCACTCTACGATTTTTTTGCGATTTTTCCACCAAGTTTGATGAAAAACTATTGTGCCGTTTCGGCTGCCCAGAACAGACAGACAGACAGACAGACAGACAGACACACGGCTAGTCCTATAGTATATTATATAAAACACACACACACACACACAGTAACTTTGGTGATCTTAAACATTGTGTGTGCAGAAGAACAGGATGGTACTGCCGCTGCCTCCACTAACTAGCAACTTGAAGAGCTAACTTATGGCTGTAGTTTTTCATAGTTCCCTACAACCTCGCTTACACGAAACCCGCTACTTGGCCGGTAACTAAAACTCGAGGTACACAAGTTTGTCACTGATGTGTGTTAATTGTGTTTCTCGCCAATCAAATTTAATGCAAGTATTTTCACGGATGATTTTAGAGTGTTGGTTTAAGAATTCTATAGGTTCTCTTATCCGCAGTGTGAACAAGCTGGTGGGCAGTCTAGATTAGGTAGTTTTTTTCTTCTGGGCTGTATAAGATGAGAGTAGTGTGTCCCGCGAGGGAGTGTTGGAGAGAAAACCTCCCCGGGTCTGACCAAATCGCTCACTCCATACCACGCTGAAGAGCCACACTAATTGTAAACAATCTCTTGACCTCTTATGATTTAATTAAAAGGTCAAACAGTAGTTTTGTATAGTAACTCTTCTGAGTAGGCAGTAAGGACGGCGTCAACACACAGGCTAATGTTTAACAACTGGTCAGTGTGTTGTTAGAGGCGAGCTTTGACAACACAGTATTTATATTTTTCATATATGCACATTTCCCCCACTTGCACCTCTTCTTCTCAGGTTACTTGAATTTCTTCAATGTCATTGTGAAATTTTATGTTTTTAGAGCATATACAGTAGATAACGGGCTTAGAAATGCGTCATATAATCCTATAATGCCAGTGAGGTAGAGTGGAAGGACTAAATCGAGTTTTTAATTACTCCTCGATCATGCGTAAGTTTGATAAAACCTTGTAGATTATGGAGGTCATTGTGGCCGTATCAGACCTCCGCCCTCCCGGGATAATCCATGCGGGATCAAAGCGATAACTCACCTAATAATTTTGGGTTTTCGATGGTGTAGATGAGTTAAAATATATTGGGATATTACATGTGACTAATGGTTGGTTGTGTTCACGGAGGATGTAGAGAGAAGCTGAGAGGTAGAGTCTGGAGCGTGTACGAGGGGTCAGCAAGCGTATCTCTGGCTGGAAATATAAATGATCTTTATCTTTGCCCTGTGAAGTAAAGGTGGAACACTGCCTCTTGTGGATTTTAGGAAGTTTATTTATTTTTTATTCATTAGTGGTAATTTTTAGTTTGCCCAGTGTTTGTCCACTCCCTCGTCAGGTTCTGCCACACACTTAGCAAGGTGTTGAACAGTGGCTGTAACTGTAGGGCTACTCTAATGTATGTTTTTAGAAGTTGTATTAAGTATTAGCAGTGTTATTCACGTCCTTTATCTTTGATTTTTTAACCCCCAATATATAGCTTATATTTGTAGGTTGTCACAAGTAATATATTTGTCTAGTATAAACATTGCGGATGTCTCCTTTCTCGCGTCATGTAAAAGATAGTTAAGTATACTGTATACACCCGGCACTGACAGGCCTACTTACGCAATCACCTCGACGTGGGTAACTAATAACATACTTCAGAATTATATTTTTACATCACCCGCCGACTGTTGACGCACAGTACAGTACCAGGTTGTGGCTCCTTCAGGCTGGCGTGTACATAAGTCATTCGGTGAATGGTTAAGTTGTAGGCTTTAGTTTGGGACAAGTTATTATACGAGAACAATATATATATATATATATATATATATATATATATATATATATAAGAGCGAGGCTGGTCAACATAGACCATTAGGAGATGTTTAACCAGAAATAAATTTCTCACAAACTCCGCCAAAAGCCAATTACTTGATAACTTAAAAATTTAGTGACCTTATCAGTTGATAGGGTATCTGGTCCACGCTGTTAAGTTTGGATTACGACACTTACTGCCATGTGAACATAAAGGTTATTTTCCCCTTTACAATATGACCATGTAACTATCTCACTGAGATTCTCCAAAAACTTAGACTCCGCTGAAAAAGGATTTTGGAGTTTGAAATTTTGTGTTCATCCATTAATGTTATGTGAGTTTTATAATTCTGGTTTAGGAGAAAGCATTACAGGAAATCGCTCTTTACTGCTGTTTATGGAAACTCATAAATATTGCTGAAGGACATTATTGCCAATAGCTTTGTTCAGCCTTTCCGATGTTGTTATAGAACATTTTGGACTAAAGTATCACGTATCTGTAACTAACTGTGAATAAAGTAATACTGATATTAAAGAGGAGAGGAAAAATATAGCGCATCATTAATATTATATCAAATTTACATGTTTGAATATTTGCAAAAACTCAAGAAAACTCAAATGAAATGTTTTCAGGTTCTCAAAAAGAAAAATATACTGGTCAGGTAAAAAATCAGATAATATTTTGGTTTTCCCAAATACTGTACTGACCGCAATACATTTACTTGGGGATCCTGGCACTTGGCGTGACTCTGCCAGGACTGGTACAGTACAGTGGGTGCCTAAGATGCCCGCCAGCCTTCACGCCAGCCATCAGGAGCACAACACGCCAGCCTTCAGCATCACGCCACGCCAGCCTTCAGCATCACGCCACGCCAGCCTTCAGCATCACGCCACGCCAGCCTTCAGCATCACGCCACGCCAGCCTTCAGCAGCACGCCACGCCAGCCTTCAGCATCACGCCACGCCAGCCTTCAGCAACACGCCACGCCAGCCTTCAGCAACACGCCACGCCAGCCTTCAGCAACACGCCACGCCAGCCTTCAGCAGCACGCCACGCCAGCTTTCGGCAGCACGCCACGCCAGCTCTCAAGAGCACACCACGCCAGCCTTCAGCATCACGCCACGCCAGCCTTCAGCATCACGCCACGCCAGCCTTCGGCATCACGCCACGCCAGCCTTCAGCATCACGCCGCAGCCTTCAGCATCACGCACGCCAGCCTTCAGCATCACGCCACGCCAGCTTTCAGCAACACGCCACGCCAGCCTTCAGCAACACGCCACGCCAGCCTTCAGCAACACGCCACGCCAGCCTTCATGAGCACACCACGCCAGCCTTCAGGAGCAACCACGCCAGCCTTCAGGAGCACACCACGCCAGCCTTCAGGAGCACACCACGCCAGCCACTACCACTGTACACCAAGTGTCCACCCACCTCGTGTAGATATTTGTGGCTGGCAAAAAAAAAAACTCTATATATAGGAGAGGGCGAGGGGAGAGGATATCAGAAAAGTTATAAAAGTTATCAAAAGGGAAGAAAAACGGTTGATTTTTTTATGGAGAGATCGTGTGAATGAGAAAAACCTAGAAGTCTGAAATCGTGTAGAAATAATAGTTGAAGGCAAAAGAGAACAGTTAAGAGAGAACTAGAGGCTAGATAGTTAAACAGAGTGAAGAAAAAATATGTAAAAATAAAACCAGGGCGTTTGGTCGATAAAGTAAGAAGAGAGTAAGAGAGAAGAGTTACGAGACAGAGAAAGCAACAGAAAGAGAAAAAAATACCTGGGAGAGTGAGGCACGAGAGACGCCACGCAAGGCAGACCTTGAAATAGCCAAACCCAACATTACTCTTGCCAACCACTCGGTATAGCTCGGGCTGGCTACCGGCGGGGTCGCAACGCTAGAAGGGTCAGTGTCCTCCCCCTTACCTGAGGTCAGGCAGGTGTTCGTGTCATTACCCTGGTTAACGGGGAGGAGGGGAAAAGGTCAATGTATTCTATGGTCCTCAGGGGTCAGTGTTACCACTCTTGTCAGGGCGGATCATTGTCACTCTTCCCCCTTAAAGTCAAGCGTGCAACAGATCCGTGTCAGCCCCTTTGGTTATAGGTAGTAGTTGTCCTCTTTACATACATCCTCAGGTATCATTGTCCCCTCCCTCCTCCCTACACCCATCCTCTCCTCCAGGTCACAGAGGAAAATCCCTGTAGATGTTCCTAGTGCAGGAAAATCTAGGTTTAATCTCTTTACTACCGATAGTTTCCTCGTGAATGCTGACACACACAAAATAAAAGGTCCTGTTGGGTTCACCTTGGTGCCCTGAGTGCGACCCCGTGCCCAAAGAATTTTTTGGGACATCGAGTCAAATAGGTCGCTTGTGGTTGGTTAGCTAAGTCTTGCGTGGAGTGTTTTCCACGCGAGGCTAAGATTGTCATAAAGGGGACGAAGGCTGAACCTGGGTGCGGCAGCTGCTGCCAATAAAAACTACTCCGGTACTCTGAGAATTTTGGAGTATTTAAAGTATTCTTGATGTAGAGTGCGTGTTGTTACAGTGCTTTGGTCTTCCTCCTTGGTGTAAACTAGATGTTGGTACAGCATAAATCTGTAGTTAGTAGACTACAAAATAGATTTAGCACAATAAATAAATAGCGCAGGGAGAGTTCAACCTAGTTTTGTCAGATTTTATCTTGGCTAAAGATTAAAGGCCTAGTGTATCTGGAATTTCCACCAATTTTGGTTGACAGAGGATCTGAATGAGGTAATGTGAATAGAAAAAGCGTGGGCCCTCCCTTATCCTCGTGGGCAGAGAATGGGCACATAGTGATAGCCAGGTCGGGTATAGTATCATAAGAGTGACGGAAGAAGTACCTATAAATAGCGACAACGATGAGTTACCCCTGAACTGTGTAGAAGAACCACGTGCAGGGAACCAACAGGACAAGATTCCTTTGGTATACGAGTCTTACTCAGAATACTGTTGACTTCACGTGTACTGTACATATGTACCTGCGAACTTGCACATATCCGGTATATGTAGACTCTGTATATAGATATACGCGTTAGCACAACCCAAAAACACACACACATATCCCAGGAGGTATCCCTAGATAAGCGAGTATTTACATATGCACAGACAGACAAACAGGCATACAAGAATATGCACGCATAACCTACGTGCTCTCTCACACACACACGCACTGTGCTTGAATACTTCTCACGCAAATGTGAATAACAAAGTGCGCGGCCAGATATACTGCCTCACACTCCTGTACTCACGCAGTTGTAAATAAGTTACCATCTATGTATAGAACTAAACAAATAATCTATTTGAAATATTGTGTAACATTCAGTGCCATAATATGCTAACCACAGAGGTTAATTATTCTGACCCTTTGTAAACCATACTCTGTAATCCTTTTGTGCTACCGCTCTCAGGATGAGTGTGGGGTGCACAATAAACTAGCAGCTGTAAGTGAAAAATAATCAGAGAGAGAGAGAGAGAGAGAGAGAGAGAGAGAGAGAGAGAGAGAGAGAGAGAGAGAGACTCTTGACTTGGGAAGAGAAAAGTTTCATACTGGATATTTTTCCCTCTCACTCTACCTCCCCCATACACCTTGGAATAGCAGTAAATAATGCATTGTACTCCATTACTATGCATGGTGCAGGAAGACACCCCTGTCATGGTTGTCCTTCACCAGTGTAGAGACTGGAAGAACTTACGACAGTCAGGTCTAGTTGCTGATGCTGGGAGTTTGGTTCATTGTCTGAGTATGTAAGTGGTGATAGTGCTGGTGATTGTGGTGGTGATTGTGGTGGTGATAATAGTGGTGGTGTTAGTGGCGGTAATAGTGGTGACAGTGGTGGTATTAGTGGTGATGATAGTTGTGGTGGTATCAATGGTGTTAGTAATGGTTTTATTGACATGACGGTTAATACACTGCTCGTAAAGTTGATGGTGAAATTATGAGGTTGATTATATTAGTTGTAAGGGATAATAGTGCTGACGAAGATAGTACCATCGTTGCAGGTACTGATTATAATGACAAAATTAGCGACGGGTCTTAGCATAAACTTTACAAAGATGATCACACTATAGAAAATATTGAAGATTGTTTGGATGAAGATGATTGTGGTTAATGAGGGTATCGATAATGGCAAAGAAGATTAGTTAAATTATAAAGGGAATGTATAATAATTAATTGATTGTAAGAAAAAATATATTAATCGTTTATATATTGTGAGTTAATGGTGGTAGTTATGATGATGAAGACGATAGTAGAATTAATGAGGGTGATGGAAGATAGTGAGAGATGTGGGTCACGCATGACTGTACATAATTTAGGTGAGGTAAGAGTCCATTATGTTGATGATGGCGGGGGTGAAGGTGTGGCTGGCAGTAAGCACATATACACAGTTAAGTTCATATTCCCTACACGCACCACCACCAAGACTACATTTTTAACATACTTGCTATTAGTTAAAAGAACCTTGAAAATTACCCCGAGACACGAAACCTCTTCTGAGAAAAAGAAAATCTACCTTTTTATCTTTACGAAGGAAATATTTTTCAGTCGTGGGTTTAAATATCAAGACAATATGTGTGTTAACCCCAAGATGTTTTACGCTATCTTCTGGTGATACTAACCTCGAAATTCACACTGCAGTCTGTGTTATTTTATTGGCTGCCTAACTGTCACTACGATAACACCATTCTCTCTATCAAATTCAGACATGGTTCACTACGCAAGACAGAGTAGAGTGGCTTTTTTGAGACACGCTATATGCTGAGGAGATGCTTAGAGCTGAGACACGCTCTGAGGAGATGTTTAGAGCTGAGACATGCTATACACTGGAGAGATGTTTAGAACTGAGACGCGCTATATAGTGAGGAGATGTTTAGAGCTGAGACACGCTATACACTGAGGAGATGTTTAGAGCTGAGACACGCTATACACTGAGGAGATGTTTAGAGCTGAGACACGCAATACACTGAGGAGATGTTTAGAGCTGAGACACGCTATACACTGAGATGTTTAGAGCTGAGACACGCTATACACTGGGGAGATGTTTAGAGCTGAGACACGCTATACACTGAGATGTTTAGAGCTGAGACACGCTATACACTGAGATGTTTAGAGCTGAGACACGTTATACACTGAGATGTTTAGAGCTGAGACACGCTATACACTGGGGAGATGTTTAGAGCTAAGACACGCTATACACTGAGGAGATGTTTAGAGCTGAAACACGCTATACACTGAGGAGATGTTTAGAGCTGAAACACGCTATACACTGAGGAGATTTTAGAGCTGAGACACACGCTCTGAGGAGATGTTTAGAGCTGAGACATGCTACACTGGAGAAGATGTTTGAGGCTGAGACACGGTATACACTGAGGAGATGTTTTAGAGCTGAGACACGCTCTGGGGAGATGTTTAGAGCTGAGAGACACGCTATACACTGAGGAGATGTTTAGAGCTGAGACACGCTATATACTGAGATGTTTAGAGCCGAGCCACGCTATACCTGAGGGAGATGTTTAGAGCTAAGACACGCTATACACTGAGGAGATGTTTAGGCTGACACGCTGTTACACTGAGGAGATGTTTAGAAGCTGAGACACGCTCTGAGGGAGATGTTTAGAGCTGAGACATGCTACTGGAGAGAGAGATGTTTAGAGCTGAGACACGGTATACACTGAGGAGATGTTTAGAGCTGAGACACGCTCTGAGGAGATGTTTAGAGCTGAGACATGCTACACTGGAGAGATGTTTAGCACAGAGACGCTATACACTGGAGAAATGTTTAGAGCTGAGACACGCTATACACTGAGGAGATGTTTAGAGCAGAGACACGCTATATACTGAGATATTTAGAGCCGAGCCACGCTATACACTGGGGAGATGTTTAGAGCTAAGACACGCTATACACTGAGGAGATGTTTAGAGCTGAAACACGCTGTACACTGAGGAGATGTTTAGAGCCGAGCCACGCTATACACTGAGGAGATGTTTAGAGCTGAGACACGCTATACACTGGGGAGATGTTTAGAGCTAAGACACGCTATACACTGAGGAGATGTTTAGAGCTGAAACACGCTATACACTGAGGAGATGTTTAGAGCTGAAACACGCTATACACTGAGGAGATTTTAATTAGTTTAACAAATTTATTGGCAAAGCTTGTAGTACAGTTTGCCTATTCTGATTAATTCAGTCAGGTCTTGACACTGAGGGTGGTATCACTTCTCACTGCCACGCAGGACAGAGGTTCATACACAAAGAAATACATCATATTCATTAACAGTGAAAAACGTAACACCCC